AATCCCAGTCTTCTCTATGAGAATCTTTGAGAACATGTATTTAATGGGCAGCCGATGGTTCTGACTACAGAGGCAATAAGCTGGCTCCATACATTCACTCTGTAGGTTCTTTGAAGGGAGGGGCTTTGTACTATTAGCTCATGGATTCCCTGTGCCCATCCCAGTGCCTGGTATATAATGGACCTTAGGTGTGCTGATTTGTTCCATGGAAATCCACAAAAGAAATATGCAGAGTGAGCACCTTTTCTGTTGTTGTCATTGATATGTTGATAATCAGCGTATCTACTGAGTGCCTAGGAGACTTTCTTGTAATTGAACAAGCCAGCGTTAACCTCTCTTTTCAATATCAAGGAAATTTAGGCTTAGGCTTTGGTAGATGTGACACATTGACATTCACCCCATTTCTGCTTGTACATTCCCCACATACTTGGGATTGTTGGTTGTTGTTATTTTTGTTGTTTTTGTAAATATTTGTTTTCTGCCGTATAGAATAGAACTGCCCTGTTTTGGTTTTGTGTTTCACCTTTAGTTTTGGGGAAACCACCACTGCTGGAAAGAAAATGGGATTTATTGGGGAAGGAGGAAGGGAAGTGAGGTATCCACCCTAGTCTTCTCTTATAAGGAGATCTGGCAGGATGGGAAGTAGAGCCTCACCAAATAGTTTTTAGGGTTTTAATTTCATTAAAACTTGAACCCAAACATATCAGGTAGACGTCTTCTTTTCAGCCTTCTAGATTTGGGTGCAGAGGGATTCCTCACCTAGCCAGGTTGAATTAAGGAGAGAGGGAGGTCTGTTTGTCCCACTGCTGCGGCCTCCAGGATGCCTTCTTTAGCCCTTTGTATTCTTAGAAACAAAGTCACCTCTTGGCAGGAATAAAGCCACTCAGATGCCAACAGTCAGGGTTTGGTTTCAAGTCACCAGCCTTGGGGAGGCAGCGCCCGATTTCCTTTGGCAAAGACAGCCTGCCCATGCTCAGTTCATTTCAGCCACTTGGGCACTAAGGTAACTCCTCAAAATAGAAACCTCTGAAGCCTCTATCTGATGCATCTGTGAATAATTATGTTTGTCCCGAACTCTAATTTCATTTCTCAGAATTTTGAAAACGTTATTCAGCTTTTTTCTCTTTTCTCAGATCAACTTTCAGAAAAAGTAGATCTGAGTTAGAAGGATCTAGGCATTTATATTTTCTTCTGGAGACAGTGTGGTTAATGTTTGCAGCCAATGCATGGGCTGTGGCATTGACAGATCCAAGTTTTATTCTTAACTTCAGGACTGTTCCTGGATGTGTGACCTCAGGCAAATCTGTTCATCTCTGAGCTTCTATTTCCTCATCTGTAAGAATGATTTTAATAAAATCCGCCTACAGTGTCATTGTGAGGCAGTGACCCTGAGGTCATTGTATAGAGGTCACATATATAGAAAGCACATTGTACAAACACTGAATGGACACAGTTCTCTTTCTTTCTGCAGACACAGGTGAGAGGCCCACACCCCGAGCAGCTTGTAATGGGCGGGCTGTAATCAAGGATCTGAACAGCCATGCAGCTTCACAACTTGCTCCCAGCTCTTGGCTTATTTGTGTTTATTTTTCCATTGCTAGGCAGGAGGGATAGCTAAAGTAGGAAAGTTCTTTTGATTCTACCCCAGGATCTAGTTAATCTCACATAATACACTGCAACAACAGTAATCTTAGCAGCTGTGATTTATTGAACACTTCTTGTATGCTAGGCCCTATGCCGAGCACCCTCTGTGCATTATTTCCTTTAATCTTCCAACCTGTTCTGTATGACAGTCATATATCCCCATTGTACATATGAGAAAACCGAGATTTCAGGTTCTTGTCTGGCTCCAGAGTGCTTTGTGCTCAGCACCTTGATTTTCAGCTGTACTTTCATGGTCCCCATTGAAGAACGGTAAATTTTACCCTCCGGTCGTTCACCTTCCTGATCTCTGACGCCTGGAGGTCCAGGCTGTGGTCCCTGAGTTACAATAGTTTTAATTTCACCCCAGCTCGGATTCCCTGGCCCATGGGAGCTGGCGAGGCAGAAGAGCTGGGAGTGAGGTGTGCTCGGCAGAGAGACTCTGATTCTTTTCACAGGTATACTACCCAAGGCTTGGTTTGTATTCCATTCTTTCCCGTAAACTCACTGCCTACAGATGCCACAAGAAGTGACAGAAATGGTGCCTCTCAAAGCCGGGTAGGGCTGGGAGCTTGCTGCAAGCAAGGTTTGGTTAAGGGTTGGGTGATGGACATGGAGACAGCCAGTTGTCTGGATAATGAAGGAACAACGCCTTTTGCCCTCTGCTCCTGTATTGGTAACTAGAGGTCCAACAGAGGGGCCAGGCACGAGGCATCACCTCTTCATGCACCTCCTCATCTCTGAGGGCCTTGCACTAGTGTTTGTGCTCCCAGCTTCACCTGTGTTGTTTTTTATCCTCCTACCGACTGATGAGACTGGAAGCGCCTTGGCAGCAGTGCCCCATACATTTCTGTGGGCTTTGGTTTGCTTATAATTGAAAAGATGATGTGATGACATTTGAGAAAGTTTTTAAAAGATCAGAGGTACTTCACCCCTCCCTATAACCTCACTTCCCTAATATGACAATGGCTTCTACTTTATTTTAAAAGTCTTCTTCCAGCACAACATATTCTGTTCCTGCGTGGCTGCATCCAGGTCTCAGGCCATCCTGAAATCCACCAGACAGCTGGAACAGAGGCTGGGTCCATGTCAGAGCTTGACGTTCCTCTTTTTCATTTCACCTGATGCCTTTTAGGGTTTTGGAAGCCTTGGTAAAGATAGCACTCTGATGTTGAGCAGGAGAGGGGCTTAGCCCTCTCCCAGATGGTGCTGGGCCCTGGCCACACTCCCTGTATGTGGACAGCTGGCACCAGATGGGGTATTGGGCCTCCTGCCCTTCCACATTGTGGCCAGAGATCCACAGCGTGTGGGTAGCAGGTCATGAGTGTAAACCAGCACTTCCTCAGGATATATTTACAGGGTTTTGTGAGCAAACAACTTTGGGAAACTTTGGGCTATAGAAAGTTACACAATGTTTCTCTTCCGCAGTGCTTTTAATGTGTTATATTCAATGAACCTCAAAGGAGAGAGGTTTTATGAGACATAATAGTAGCTAACATTTATTTAGTGTCTACTGTTTGTTGAATGGAGGAGCTCCAGTAAGCTCTTAGTATGCAGTACATCATTTAAACCCTATAGCACTGGGACTTCCCCGGTGGCGCAGTGGTTAAAAATGTGCCTGCCAATGCAGGGGACACGGGTTTAACCCCTAGTCTGGGAAGATCCCACATGCTGCGGAGCAACTAAGCCCGTGTACCACAACTACTGAGCCTGCGTGCCACAACTACTGAGGCTGTGTGCCACAACTACTGAAGCCTGCGCCTAAAGCCTGTGCTCCACAACAAGAGAAGCCACCGCAGTGAGAAGCCTGTGCACCGCAACGAAGAGGTGGCCCCGCTCGCCGCCAACTAGAGAAAGCCCGCACACAGCAACGAAGACCCAACACGGCCAAAAAAATTTTTTTAATAAAATAAAAAATAAATAAATAAGCAAAAAGATTAAAAAAAACAAAAATAAACCCTATAGCGCCCTTGGGAGGTAGGTGCCATCACTGTCCCCATGTCGGAGGCTGGGGGGACTTACCCAGTGTCATAGCTGATTGGCAGTGGGCACAAAGTTTTGTGCTGAAGCAGGCTGAGCGCAGATTCCATCTCAGCCAGTACACAGCACTGCTGGCGAGCAGCTTGGAGCAGCCTTCTTTTATTTGAGACTTCCCATTCCCTATGGAACTAGTACTTGGAAGGACTCTAGTTGGAGAAATGCCAATGTAAACTTGAAAAGTGAATAGGGACTGGTGGGCGAATACTGACATGGGTTTCTCTTGTGAACCCTGTTGGGCTCTGAGCTCCCTGGAACCCCTGTACCCCGGATGCCTTTGTGTCACATTAGGCTGGTCTTACTGCCTATCCAGCAGGAGAGGCAGGCATGGGGGGGCTGGAGTATAGAGGCCAGTGGTTCTCCAACTTGGCTGCATATTGGAATTCATCAAGGGAGCATTAAACATTACTGATGCCTAACCTCATTCTCAGAAATGCCAGTTTAGCCTGGGTGGGACCCAGGCATTGGTGATTTTTAAATGCTCCATGGTGATTCTGCTGCATCCTGGGTGAGAACCACTGGTTTGCCACACTCCTTTTTGGCCTGGTTACCATATCTTATACCAAAGCAAGGAGAAGAAAGCATTTCCATTTGTTAAATGACTTGCCAGGGTTTTGATTTGTTTGTTTCTGTTTTTGTGAATGAGTGACTGGACTTTTTTTTACTGGTCCCGTATAGCCCTGCACCATGAATCCTCTCCATGATCTATACCCATGACTCTAACTTTGCACTGACAGTCACATATTGACCAGCCCTTTTGCAGAAGTTTTAGATTGGTTACTAAGGGGACTTGTGAGAAGGACACTCAGCTCTCTTATTCCTGATGGAAGAAGTAGGTGGGTACCATTGCTCAGAGCACTGCATTCATGCTGTTGCTAGGGGAGCTGGAGTGACAAGTGTATTCTGGGTGATGGCGTTGGCTGACCACACCCATACTGCTTTTTGGACTTACACTGTAAATAATGGTCTCCAAAGGGGGTGTCACTGTCATTTTAAGTTGAGTCAGGTAAAACTGGGTAACGGAATTGTTTCTAGGTTTGGTAGTTGGGTAACTTAAGTTGTTTCCTACTGTGTCTACAAAAAAGACTGTTTTAGGCACTTGGGAAAATATATGCCCTTGTAATAATAGACAATGATTGTTTTAACCCTTAGCTTTAATGGCTTTTCTTAATATCTTCATCTTTTCGAAGGCACAGACGCGAGGCTATTCAAGGCGGAATTCTGGGATTTCGAGACTACCACTCTTTATGCAGCTCAAGATGGATGTGTCCCAGGTTGATCAAAGGGTTTGTAATGGGAATGTTTCTGTTGGTTTCTTACAGTACAACAAACACCTCTTCGTGCACATTGGGCATGCCAACCATTCTTACAGTGACCCATTGCTCGAATCAGTGGACATTCGTCAGATTTATGACAAATTTCCTGAAAAGAAAGGCGGCTTAAAGGAACTGTTTGGAAAGGGCCCTCAAAATGCCTTCTTCCTCGTAAAATTCTGGGTGAGTAAGACCTTGCTGTGATTTCAGTGGATTTTGTCTGAATGGTCGCATCCCACACTTAAGGGCAGAGCACTGGCTGTGGATTCCCACTCACTGATTTGCAGGATCGCCAAGGGATCACAGACTCACATCCGTGGGCCGTCCTCATGCTGGCCTATGGCACATCCATGTGGTGACCCAGGTGGCATTTGCTGTCCCTGCCAAAGAGACACAGGCAGCTGCTTGGGCTTCAGGGCTCTCTCATGCAATGACAAGAAACTTTGCAGATGGCTGGGGTCACAATGGCAGACGTGAGACACTTAGGCCCTCTTTCTGTTTGTTCACACACCATTAAGCAAAGCAACCTATAAATTCCATTGGAGCGTAGGACCTGAGGCAAAGGAGGGGCTTGGGTGGAGCTAAAGACATGCTTCAAGATTTTATAAGTGTCAGAGAGAATACACAATGGCTCTGCCCATTACGTGCCTCATTTGTGCCTTAAAACACCAAGGGCACGTTCCCCCAGCTGCTGGGGCTTCCTGCTGTCCCCTGGCCTCTGAGGAGAGCTTTGCTGTCCCTTCTCCACTAGTCAGGCCCGGGCCAGGGGACTGCTGTTGGGTCAGGGAGGTCACAGCAAGCGTAAGGATAATGTGTGTGTACTGGGGGCCTGAGAGCAGAGCACCTGCTGGCACTGAGCGTTTATAACTCCTCAGTCTTGACAAGAATAAAAAGAAAATGGCTCAAATGTTTGCGCTTCTTAGCGTGGCATTAAAGGCCCTAAAAGAGCTGGTTCTGGATGTTGCCCTTGCTGTCTGTCCTATGGCCTGCCTTTGTGTGTGAGTGGGTGGACTTTTTACTTCTCCTCCTTTCCCTCCTTCTTTTGAGGTGGTGGCTTCTTTATTACATAGCACCTTCCTCACTTAAACAAATGGTTGATTTTTCTTTTAGTCCTATCGCGTTGTGTGGTTACTCAGTTCCCATGCTGTGTCATAATTATTTGGATGTGTGTCCCACTCCTCTGGACTGGACTACTTCCAGGCACCTTATTCATAATGGTGGCTACACTGATTGAATGCCTGCTGTGGGCCGGGAGCTGCGCTCATGCTTTACATGCATTTTATCCAGTCTTTCCAGTGTTACCTGGAATTTGCCTTATATCCAACTAAGAAAACAGAGACCCAGAGATCACAAAGTACAGGCTGCTCCAGGGTGGGGACCTGGGGCTTGAAATCCGATCCGTTTGACTAAAGTGCCTTTGCTCTGTTTCCTGGCTGCTTCATGTCCCCTGGACCCCACCCACAGGGTCTGTCAATCGCTCTCCATATTTGCGAAGCTAAGCAAGTGCCTGGCACAAAAAACTCAACAAATGGGGGAAACAAACAGATGAACTAAGGAAAAATTCATATTTTAAATTCCTTGGGAGGAAATTTACATATTAAATTTAATTCGTTTAGGTTTTTTTTTAATCCTTGCATGGTAACTGGATTTCATTTGTCATGCTTCCATATTGAATTTGGATTGTGGAAGTAGCCTTCTACTTAATTTAATGTTCTCGGGATCAGTAATACACGTGGACACCCTGAAAAAGCACTTCCTTCTTCTAAATTAGTGGCTGCCACCTATTGACTTGAATGGTGGTTGGGGGTCAGTTGTTATATGATAACACAGCAGTTTTCAAAGGGTATTCTACAGACCCCTGGGGGGTTCCTTAGTCTCCTTTCAATGGGCTGACAAGGTCAAAACAATTTTCATTATGACACTGAGATCTTATTTTCCTTTTGAACTCTGCTGATGTGCTCATTGATGGTTCAAATGTAATAGGGTAAAACTGCTGAAGCCCTGGATCAGTCGGGCTGGGTTGCATGCACAGTTTCTGGGGGTTTTTTTTAATATAAATTTATTTTTTATTTATTTATTTTTGGCTGTGTTGGGTCTTTGTTGCTGCGTGCGGGCTTCTCATTACAGTGGCTTCTCTTGTTGCAGAGCACGGGCTCTAGGCACGCGGGCTTCAGTAGTTGCAGCACACAGGCTCAGTAGTTGTGGCTCGCAGGCTGTAGAGCACAGGCTCAGTAGTTGTGACACACTGGCTTAGTTGCTCTGCAGCATGTGGGATCTTCCCGGACCAGGGATTGAGCCTGTGTGTCCCCTGCATTGGTAGGCAGATTCTTAACCCCTGCGCCACCAGGGAAGCCCACACAGTTTAAATTAAAAAAAAAAAAATCAGTCACACCAAGAATATCCTTTATGAGGTTTATTATATCTTGAACCTAGAGTACACACTGAAAATGAATGCAGTGAGCCTGCCTGCTACATCAAGGAAAACAACAGATAATTTTTGTTGCCAAAGATAAGATTTGAGCTTTCAAGTAAAAATAAGAATTTTGGAAAACTTGTATCCACTTTGGTGAACTTGACAGCTTCCCAATACTTAAAAGACTTTTCTGTGGGATTCACAGTCATATTAACAAATGTGATATATATTTTTTTAATTCTGTGCAAGATAAACCAATGGATTTTAAAGTAACAGAGTGTGAAAAGTTCATTGATATGGTTTCAGACTCCACACTATTGCTAACCTTTAAAAACTACGGCTTGTCAAGTTTTGGGTGTAGTGTCAAAGAAAAAGGCCACAATTATCTGAAGAACCTATTAAAATATTCTTCCCTTTTCCAGCCACATATTTATGTGAGGCTGGGTTTTCTTCATGTACTTCAACCAAAAGTTGAAGTACAAATCATGACAGATTGAATTTAGAAGCAGGTATGAGAATCTAGGTATTTTTCATTAAGCCACACATTAGGTAGATTTGCAAAATGTAAAACAGTGCTATCCTTCTCACTAATTTTCATTGTTTTTTAAAATATAGGTATGTCTAATTAAAAAAAGATGTATGTTAACATCCAGTGAGCTTAATATTATGTTTAAATTAGGTAATAAATATTTAAAATTTTTCTCAGTTTAAATTTCTGACGTGGAAAATACAGACAGCTATAACCTACAGAAACAAAAGCTCTTTGAGGTCCTCAGTAAATCTTAAGAGTGGAAAAGGGGTCCCAAGATCAAAAGTTTGAGAGCCACTATTGTGAAGGATATAAAAAGAGACTGTTCTACCCAAATGAATTAAAATTAATCAGAAATTGTAGGATAAGATAAAAATAAGCCATTTTCAGTGCTTTCAAATTAAACGGTATTGGTTTTTTTGTTTTCCTTTTTTTTTTTTTTTGGCTGCGTGGGGTCTTCGTTGTGGCGCGTGGGCTCAGTAGCCCTGCGGCATGTGGGATCTTAGTTCCCCGACCAGGGATCGAACCTGCGTCCCCTGCATTGGAAGGTGGATTCTTAACCACTGGACCACCAGGGAAGTCCTCTATATAGTACTGGATTTTAATGATAACAAGATTTCTTATAGTCAGCATATTGTTTGACTATAAAGTGGAATGCAAAGTATTAGAAAGTTGTTTTTGTTTTTGCTTCCAAAATTTTCCATTTTACACAGGGGATGATTTTAATAAATGCTTTCAGTGATGGGACCCTTCAGCCATGAATCCCCAAATAATGGTCTAGATTTGCAGACGTTTAGAGTGTGGTGGCTAGTGTGAGATTTGCGAATGTAGAAACAATTACTCTGAGATTAGGTGTTAGTTTATTAGATTAAGATTTGCAGAATTAAAATTGAGCTCTTCTATGAATATGATGGAAGACATCACTCCTTCAGTATAATTGTTAGCAGTACTTAACCGTTATGAAGAAATTCAGTCCTGACTATGTTAGAATAAATGAGGAAAGGCAGTTTGAATTAGGTTTACAATTTGCTGCAGCTTGAAATCTCATTGCCTTCCTCTAATGACTGAGAAAGCATGAATTACACTTAGACTCTATCCTTGAATGTCAGTGGGTGTTTCTTAAGTAGGCCTAATCTTCCTTTTGAAATTTCTTTTGTATTAGCAATTTGCTTCACAGATTTTCATTTTTGTGTGAATTCAGTGCATTTCAACAGAGGTCCTATCCTCACGTCTCCTTTCTTCTCCTCCCTTTTTCCTTTTTCTCAAAGTGCCTGCAGTCTCCAGGTTGTCACCATCAGGCTGACTCTTAGTTTGTTCATAATGTTTGCTCCATGTCCATTCTGGGCTCATTCAGGCTAGATCAGCTTAGGAGTTTGCTGTGGGAGAAATACTGAGTCCACCTGAGGTACCCGCACTTACGCCCAAGCTGTGACCCCAGCTCTTTGCCAGGGGACACTGAGGTAAATGGGATGGCAGTGAGTCATGTAGTGGTCACTCCACTGGCTTCAGGGTGGAAGAGTCTGACTGGCCCCCCAGGACTCAGGCCCCAAAACACAAGTGAATGGCAGAGCCACAGATGCCAGTGTTGTGGGTGCCCCTCCACCCTGTGAGCCTTAATGGTATGGGACACCCAAGGGCCTCTGTGAATGGCTGTGCATCTGGGGAGACCTTTTTTTTTTTCTTAAGAACCTTATTGAGGTATCATTTACATACCATAAAATTTTACTCATTTTTTGTGTACAAGTCAATGATATTTAGAAAAATTTGCAGAGTTTTGTGGTCGTCACCACTCTTAAATTTTAGAATATTTTTATCATTTCAAAAAGATGCCCAGGGCTTCCCTGGTGGCGCAGTGGTTGAGAGTCCGCCTGCCGATGCAGGGGATACAGGTTCATGCCCCGGTCTGGGAGGATCCCACATGCTGTGGAGCGGCTGGGCCCGTGAGCCATGGCCACTGAGCCTGTGTGTCCGGAGCCTGTGCTCCACAGCGGGAGAGGCCACAACAGTGAGAGGCCCGCGTACCGCAAAAAAAAAAGATGCCCAGTGCCCATTTGCAGTCAGTCTTTATTCCCACTTCCAGGCCCAGGCAGCTACTAATCCACTTTCTGCCTGTACAGATTTGCCTTTTCTGGACATTTCATGTAAATGGAATCATTCAATGTGTGGTTGTTGGCATCTGGCTTCTCTCACTTATGATGTTTTCGTAGCCTGAGTCAGTAATTTGCTGCTTTCTGTTGCTAA